TTCCTAGACATATGTTATAAATTTAACACTAAAAATACCATGCTTTATTCAGGGCATTTGACCTATTAAATAGATAGGGACGAAATTTTGTAATTACAATTACCCAAGTCATCAACTGTATGTTCAAAGTTTATAACTATTTCTATTGGCACCTATGTAAGAGCGTTTAAAAAAAATAAACTTTAATTACCAGAATTTGTTGTTGTGTAGTTTTCTTTTGTGCTATTTTCGCGCAAAAAGTAGTTCGGTTGACTGGTTTTCGTGTCAAAGTCAAAGTTTTTATAATTGTAGCCAACCACCGATAAAGATAACGTTTACCGTGACTATTGCTGGTCGAACACGAGCACCTGACGGTTTTAATCACTGTCGCAAGTCACAGCTGTTAGTGGCGAATCTAGGCCGTCACGGTGAATAGTTGGTGTAAGTGACTACTATAGGGCGCCGTAACTATATCGTCAACTTATATTTTGTCATGTTGGTCTGTACTGATACTTGTGAATAGATATCCTTCTTCCATGACTTGACATGAGTGTTATATAAAATGAACGTCCTATCAACAACAACATTCAGCCTAGGGCAAGTGTTGTGTGTTGTTCTCCTTTTACAATTTCTGCAGTGTCTTTGAGCGTTCAGTGATATAATTCTAGTATATGTAATTAAAGCATCTAATACTAGTGCGTGTTTGCGAACAGAGTGTTAACAAATCATGGTACATTTCTGTTCAATGCTCGCTTATTTATTCGCTATTTAAACGCGCGTTTCGCTACAAGTTTCTCATCCTGTGTACACTTCAGTTCAGTCACGGTCATTTTGATCGTTGGATACCAAGCTCTGAATGAGTATTCCACTGACGAAAAATACGGACGCAGTTGCCCCTGTGCGACTTGGCCATAATGACGCTTTGACAGTGCATTTAGTTTATTGCTATTAAGAAAAAAGACGGTCAAACAGACTTGCCATGTAGTTCTAAACTTCCAAGCTTCTTCTAATTTTATTCAATATGAATACAAGTACGTTAGGTAATATGGGATGTCATACATTATAAATTAAGGGCGTCAACTTTTTGTAAGACGACATTACGACATTACTATTAAATGTATTTTCGTAGATATTATTATGATCTGTGATAGCAACTAAAAGAAATATTCAATTTGCGTATACAGCTACAGATATTGACCTTGTGCTTTAAACTATTTATTGCAATAATAATTGTAATACAAACCACATTCAATAATAGTCCCTTATGACTTTCTTGGAGGATTCACTTAACTCTAAAAAATGCTGCCATCGTTAGGTGACGTCACAAAAATCACGTAACAAAATATTCTATTTCGATTGGCCGTTGTAAATATCACGTGACAAACAAATGGCAACCTGCCATTGGTTATTCACCGTTAGGTGACGTCATAAATGTCACGTACCAGTGTATTAAATTTCGATTGGCTGTTGCAATACCACGTGATTAAGATTAAAATGGCAGCCAACCAGATACCCTTAAAAGGAGAAATCGGAAAACCAATCGAGGAGATCCCGACCCGAGAATCCCCACGCACGAAGGACGTCTCCGAGACCTTACCCCTGTCTTTATGACGGAACTGTTCTGTCTTGGTGTTTTACAAATATGAACTAAAACGAACTAACTCTACTTAATGGTCTAATCTTTGTCTTCGAGTGACTCAGTTGATCCCCAAGTTTACTTCTCACATTTGCCAAGCGAGGAATTCCCCAACTTACGATCCGCACCAGGTCGATATATTACTTTCCTTTTCCCCAAAACTGACACTATTCCCCGACTCCGAGCTACGACCGGTTACAATGCCACATAATTCTGCCCTGATTTTAGGCCCTATCAAACTTGCGTAAAAATAGTGAAATACGAAGAAACGTCAAAATAAGTATTCAGCGTATGACATCTAGGCTTGCAAAACACTACAAGACAGTTACTAAATAACGGGGAACAGAGAGCACGGACAATAAAACTCACCAGATTCCCACTGATACGAAACTATAGATGCCACGTGAAATCCCAGACGAATAAACAGTGATTATAACAAGTAACACGATTGATATTGATTTTCTTATATGTTGCTGAACTTTAAGTAGTTTACTTTGTTATCTTGGGATTTCAAATTATTGATTGAATTCGATTGGACATAATTTAATTTAAAGCCAGTCACCTGATTTCGTTTCAATTATTTCACTACAATAATTTCATTTTTAATATGTAAATAAGTAATGTAACTTATTTTTTTACACCCGAGCAATAAAAAAAAATAATAGTCTGTTAACATCAGTTTTCATCCAGATGCACACACATACTTTGGTTGCCTGATATCAAGCTTAATTCCAAGTCAGTGTCTACACTTTCACTCTAGTAGCGGCTTCCACAGAAATAGGAAGAGTTGAGACCTCCTTCAATAGAATATAGACTTTTCAAAGTACCTGTGATATTTTAAGTTTATTAACTTAATTAAATATCACATACAAGTAGATACCCACATTACAAAAGTTTTAGTCTGATCCCCAATTACCGCCCTCAGCGTTGACATTGGGCAGGGGACCAGACTAACAGAGGTTTCCAATTACTGACTCAACGGAAAGTAAAAGCATTAAGAAGGTCGGATATTCAAAATGTTCAGATTTGTGTTGTAATGTGTTGTCCAGAAAAAAATACATTTCACACCGTGGGCTATTCTGATCAACATTTCTCATAAATAAATAAATAAACAAACAAACAAACAAACAAACAAATAAATAAATAAATAAATAAATAAATAAATAAATAAATAAATAAATAAATAAATAAATAAATAAATAAATAAATAAATAAATAAATAAATAATATCTTACCGCTTACTTGTGCTGATTTATCCCATCTTGCACTTTTTACCTTTTCGGTACATGAAACGCTTAAAAACCTCTCTGGGCTGGTTTTCATAACATTCTTTCACCTAGTAAGTTTGGGGGAAACTCGTCTATCACCAGTGACTAGTTAAATAATAACACATGTTTGTGAGCGCAATATCACGATTTGTTGCCTGCCCTAAGGATGGTCATTACCTTTACCAATAACTGTGAATTTATATACCAAATTTCTGGTTCTGGCGTGAAATTACTTCAATTAACTCATTTATCGCGGAGTAACCTTATCAACAAATTGTTTTTTTCAGTCGATGTTAGATTGTATGGTGGTTTAAGGCCATTTGTTGGAAACGTTGAAATAAGAATAGATAACGGCGACTGGGCACTTGTGTGTGCAACTAATAGCTCCCGATGGAACTGGATGGAAGCGAGAATCGTGTGTAAACAATTAGGTAATATTCATTTTTCATTTTGGTTTATTGAGTCATTCCATTTGTTAGTACCTTCCATGGTCAATGACAGAGATAAATAAGCATTACATGTCTTATTTTAAAACTATGTAGTCTCCCGAATCCAATGGTTGTATATGTTAACAGACTGAAATGTTGTTTTTTTCCAACTTTAGGGTTTGTTGATGCCATGTGGTTGTCTGTGTCGCAAATCGATTATTTTGACAGTGATCTCACTGAAGTGAACGTCTGTGACATCAGCTGTGATTCGTCAGCAGAATCGCTGGAAGACTGTGAAATACATGTTACATCCGATAACACCTCCTGCGCATGCTCTGAAATGGATAGAGCGTTGGTGTCATGCTATTGTAAGCAGTAGTTAGTAATTGTCCCAATTGACAGTTTGAATACAAATAGTTTTACACAGTTTTCACTGTTTGAGGCAGACCGACAGACAGACAGACAGACAGACAGACAGACAGACAGACAGACAGACAGACAGACAGACAGACAGACAGACAGACAGACAGACAGACAGACATACAGACAGACAGACAGACAGACAGACAGACAGACAGACAGACAGACAGACAGACAGACAGACAGACAGACAGACAGACAGACAGACAGACAGACAGACAGAGATTCACGGAACTTGTTTTTGGCCCTTAAATAGTTTTCCATTCTTTGGACTTCCATCATGTCCACTGATCCAACTACATACCGTAGCTATATGAGTTTGGAGTAAACGTGAACCCTAACCCGGTCGGTTCACCTCGGGTTTTATATAAATAATCTATTACTATTGGAGGAAACAAAGTTTCGTGTTTCTCTTGTTTCAACGAGATCTCAGTGGCCATTCACGCCAAAGGTCGGGGTCACTTGTTGAAACTTACCAACGAGTAAACGAGGCATCCATGGGGTTCAAAATGGGCATGAGGTCTCTTTTTGACATTTTCAATGGTCAAGGGTTCCTTTTCTCATATTCAGGATTCAATGGGATCGATATTTTTTCTGTTTTCATATGATGTGTTACAATTATTATGAACTACTGTATATTAATAAGGGGTGTTTTTTAATATCGCTCCAAGGGGTGGGGTTTTGGAGAAATCGGGTCACCTGACCGTGATTTTCACCTATTGCTGGTGCCTCGCATACACGTTTATAAGTAATAGTAAGTAATATCCTGAATATTGGTTATAAAGTCATAAAACAAAAGAGAAAACGAAAATTGTCAATAAATATGGCCAATTATATTATACTGTGATATCAAGTTTAATGCATAATCAATTCGATCGTGCTCTTACATCGCAATCATTAACAGTACTGTTCTCAACTAAACTCAGGACTAACCCATACGAACACTATATATGCAAGTACCTCATCAGACCGCACACCATCGCCTTCAACATGGTGTATTTATTTTCAACAGTTCCTGGATTTCGTGGTCGTTTTAAAGAGGGTCTGACAGCAGAGAGAATATTTCCTACTTCAAGCAAAGAAGACATACCCACAGATAAGCTCACTATCCCAGAATGCATTGGGACTTGACGGGAAAAAGGTAAAGCTATTGCAGCCCTCTACGGTGGGAATGAATGTTACTGTGGTGATGATGATACAGACTACGATCGATACGGAGAAGCTATTCCAGGTGAACTAATAAATGGCATGGATGTATACGGTACGGAACAGTGTAGTGGTTATACTGATACCAACCCTTATACGCAGCAGGGATGTGGTGGAATCTATCAGCTGGACATTTATGATAGTAAGTATGACATTTCAAAGAACACTGGTTTTCATGAGACAGGATGACAGTACTCTCAATGATGATTTAGGTTTAATTATTTAATTTAATTATTTTAAGTAAGTATAAATTGTAGCTTCTTGCGGCTATCAACCATATGATACGCGCTAATGAACCAGCCATTTAATTTATGGCAAAATTACACAGTTTCAATCATGTGTAATTAAAGACATAAACTAAATAAACACTTTGCTTGAAATGCTTCGTGGGATAATGGTAATAAGATACGAATAAAGAAATATTTGACAAAAAATAAATAAATACGACCGTAGTTCAACGTCATTGTTTGCCGCCCCCCCCCAAATAATGTGTAATTGCATGTATAGAATGGCATATTACTGCGGTGTATATTTCGTTTCATATACATAAGACAGTCAGCGGAAGATAGAAAAGTGCTTAAAACAACTTGTTTCCTTGTTTCGGCATTTTTTGTCACAAGCAGGCATCTATGCTAGATCAAGTCCTCATATAGTAAGGTTTCAGGTCAGGGGCGATGCCAACATTTTCCGGCCATTTTTGGGCCAAAACGCCCTTATTTTGGGGTCAAAATTTAAAAAATGATCCAATCGTTTTCAGATGCATATCAATTTACTTGTCTTGACATATTTGTTTACCTTGCGTTACGTCACAATGGCCGAAAATGTGGAAAAGTCAACACACTTTTCGTGAAGGGTCAAATTAATAAAATTTGTTATAATGGTCTGATTTTGAAAATTGTGGTGTCTAATTATATGTTTTCTTGGATAGAAAAGCTAATAAGACAACTTTCATAGACCATTATGCCAGTCTTAGCTATGAAAATTTAAACACTTACGCATACGTATTTTCACAGTAACAGATTTGTAAAATGTATTTATTATATACTGGTTTGGTAACATATCGTTCACAGCAACAATTTTCAACGCACTTTGATCGGCCATTGGCAGTAATGTAAAATGGAAAGTGCTGAACCGCTTTTCTAGACGATATCTATTGTATATATTTGTACAATTGCAAGTAAAGGCAAACAACGAGACATACATTAAAACAGCGCACCTTGGCGCTGTGCCACTGTAGGCAGACGTAATCCTCGTTGCGCAACACCCACTGCCCTACAAATGAACACCTCCAAATGCCGTCTCAAAATGACTAGTTGTTAAGGCACAAGTCAAATATAAGATCTAGTACAGAAACAACGTATAAATGTATACACATATACTCATCTAAGCCTAATACGAACATACATTTTTGTGATATTTATGACGTGATTGGATGAAACATTTACGTGATACATATCTTCATAAATTATATCTTCACAGCAACAGTAGGAGCATGCAGTAGGAATCTGACGGATCGCTGTGGTTACATCTACTCACCAAACTTCCCCGGTATAAACAAACAACAAAACTGTGTGTGGATAATAACTACCGCTGAAGATCATATCATAGAACTTGATGTCGTATATATTATTTATAGTTTTTTTGGGTAGTCTGCAAGTTCGAGATGGTGGAGATGATACAGCGTCAACGATATATCATGGGAACTATATAGGAGACGAAATTAAAGTCAACAGTTCATCCAACATGCTGTGGATGAATTAAATAGAAGGTGATCGAGACTACGGACTCTTTGCGAAATATAAATGTGGGTGTCCGTTTTACAAATTTTTTAAACAATATTTAAAATCTAACAAACGTTATTTATAAATAATATCTACTAACCGTATATTTTATACAACAAATGTTCAGATTTTATCTTCGTCTTTTATATTATTGTTTATATTATATAATCTTAAGCGCGCAGTTTCTTTGAAAAATCTCATCTCAAATTTACCATGATATAGCACATATCTCCGACGTTTTTGGCGGTGGTTTAGAAATGTTTGTTGTTTAGAACACTCAATATTGGAGTGATATAGCCTGCACGTGTTTGCAGACATATCATGATAATTTATCCTCTGTTACGTTTTCTTTCCCGTGAAAGCAATCAATGACACATCTCTTATTCTCAACAGCCATTCCAGTGACAAATGACGTCACAGTGTGTACAATACTATACTTGGATGAAAATCGTATAATGAGTCCGTCACTATCTTGCGCTGAAAATTACTATCCTGGCGACTACATCACATTTTCCTGTGTTAAGGGGTATGTGTTGACTGGAGAACGTGTTATAACCTGCCTAAGTGATGGCCAGTGGAGCTTTAAGTTTCCTGTATGTGCAGGTTGGTATAATCCCGTTGGTGTGATACATGCATATTGATTCATTTACGAGGATACACATTTAACGTATAAATGTACCAGATCAGCTACTGGATTGAGTGTCTGCGATGTTAGATGTGTTAACTTTTAAGAAACATGGAAGTTAGTTGAGTGTTTGTTATGTGATTACACAAATTCCAGTCAATATGTTTATTTTATAGGAATATTCCACGAATAGCGATCATTGTTGAGATGAGCTAGGCTACATATAGAGTATCCCTCGTCCCTGTCTTTATAGCATGGTTAGATTATGCTAGCACACACATTCCAATATTACAGTAATAGACTGAGTATAGAACTTGTGGATACATATACACTAGTATAGATTACTCGCGTTTATGTTAACCATTTGGTGGCATAATTGTTCCCGACTAAATGTCGGTGCAACGTATTGCCAATATTTATATGTTTTTATTAGAACTTTGAACCAAATGGACATAGTGTATTGTATTGGCTACAGATCTTTTGAAACATGTACGTGGGTTTTTTTTTTCGACAAAAGATGACTTTGGCTTCAAAGGGATTATCACCTGATAAATATAATACGATATATTTTTTCTTATACACGTAAGAACCAACGACACTGGTTACACCTACAAATATAGAGATTACTATGCCTACTACAGTGTCAGACATGGAATCTGGCGTGATAAGTATACATCGCTGTGCATTAGGTATGTTAGATTTAGATGTGGTGTGGTTTGAGTTCAGTGTGTCAAAGTGTACTGAACCAATTCGTATATTCATACATAGCATAATGCTAAATACCGACAATTATGACTTTTATCTGAGGACGACGATGATGATGGCGGTTGGAGGTGATAATCTGTCCTACACCTTAAAGAAATACTATTAAATATGCTTGAACGGTTATATTATAGGTATATTGGTCTCCGCTGCTGCCTGCATTATGTCCCATAGAATTGTGTTGGGATAATATACAATATCCTGCAGCCGGATTCTGAGTCAATATAGGACTGAATATGTGTACAAGAGATTTGGATTTTATGTGTTCAAGAACGTAATGTTGTCTTCCTGTTATAACCCTATTGTCTATTCATGGATCAAATACTCAAGTTGTAATATGAGGTTATTGTTATTGCGAGGATACCGACAAGAATGCACGAAGACAGTACAGCGGAAGTATGGAACGACGCGCAGCGACGGCGTACTGTCTGAGTGCATACTTTGCGGTATCCTTGTAATAACTTTGATTATATTTAATAGCATTTGATGTTTTCTAGTATATAACAAATATTATATAATAATCGTAATTCATTCATCGTGAAAACGTTGTTATGGTTGGCCAATATATCCCTAAAGTTATTAATGTCCATATATTCGTGATATATAATGGGTATAGCGTTTTTATATATGTTATTTTTTTATTTTATGTATACCAATATTAAGTCAAATTAAGAAATATTTTGAAATATGTCGAAGTCGCATTTCCGCTTTGTATGTCATAATGAACACTGACTCATGTGTGTATAATAACGCATGTTTCATTTGGTGATTAAACACGACCTGAGTAGACGCTAACAATACCAAAACTCAAGGAATGAGCGTACCGCAACGGGGTAGAATAATTCCACCCCTGTTTTATTTTCGATCCGCCTGCAACGCTATGCTGCCGTAGATGATTGACCTGAGTCACGTGGTCCGGGAAATCCCCTACTTGGGTCTCTCCCTGCTCGACGGCGTGAAACTCAATAACAGATATACCTAAGCACAACATGGATCTAGAATATACTGCAAAACATGTCTTTTTAGCTAGCATGTTATTTAAGCTAATCTGTAATGTCGCTAATTCAAGATGTAGCTAATTTAATGTAGCTAATATTCTCACAGGGAGATAGTGAACACTATACTAGGATTCTGTTATTTCATGCCAAGATTCAAATACGCTAAAACTGCATGCAGCTATTTCAACGTGTTCTACAGTATTATTTTGGCTGACACTCCTCATTTATGTCGGGAATCCATGTCACATATATTTTATTTTTAGAAATCGAGAGGGAAAAGATGGGGATGAATCCATGGACATATAAAAACAAGTATAGTTGTATTTGTGAACTCTATACTATTTGCGCCTGAAATCAAAGATATATACCCAAATGTTTGCTATAATTGAGTAAATACTACGTGTTGTTATTTTTGCAATCACATGTTGTGTATATTTTCCTAATACTGACAATATATTTATATTTGATATGCGTTTCTTTCATGTGTATGTGTTTAATCACCTTCTTGTATTATTAAGTAGGGGATTTGTCACAGTATATTCCGTGTCATTTCTATGCGTTTCTTCCTATGTTAGCTGCAATAATGAGAACGAAAGTGCTTATGTGTGCGTTGTGTTGCTGTGGTAGCGACAGGTGACTGTACGTCAATAAAGATCATTACAATCCCATAGTCCCAATTGTTACTTACTTACATACTTACTTATGCCTATCGTCTCTCCTGGGACATAGGCCATCAACAAGATTTCTCCAACCAGGCCG